GAATCCACACTATTACTTACTGGAATCTTAACGCTGTAGAAATTAATGCACAGGGAGTATTTCGAAGCTATTCCTATAGTCACTTTCGGAAAATTACTATTTTATTAGTTGTTTCTTTTTTGATTGACTAGTTTGTCGCTTCATCATTCTCTGTTATTGCGCTAAATGACTGTTAGCTATTTGAAATTGGAGTATATGGCTAGGATGGTAAATGTTATGTTTAAAAAACCATTTGCATTTTCGAAGTTACATTGAAAGTGTATTTGATTTCTATGAAAACACTTCAATGTGTGTTTTTTTGTTTCAGTTGCCTTATACTATACTGTGTGTAGTTATTTACTTAGACAAAATATCAAGTGTATACTTTCAAGGCTTAATAATATACGTTCGTTATGATGGAAATATGTTTAAATATTGTTAGTAAATTTTTACTGAATGATTAGTTGACTGATATTACTAAAGTTAAGCATTTTTCCGATAACAATTATTTAATATGATTGAATTTTGAATGAAAAATGATAATATAATGTTTGTTAACAAATTGCACATATTCGAAGTTCAATGGTTTATATTCCTACAAGTTTAAACAAATAAATATGCATTCCATTATTATTAAATATTTTGGTGTCTATATGTTTATAATTTTAATTATCGAAATATATATATATATATATATATATATATATATATATATATACTTATTGTAGAAATACACCTTCCCAAATTACCCAGTTAACTATATTCTATTTTGTTATTTCCACCTTTTTCTTAATCATTAACTGGTGGTACATTTTTATGTCAACCAATTTCAATGTTCAATAGATATCGCTCACAGTCAACGTTATAATTAATTAGTAAACACATTCAAGGTTGATTTCAAATCAATACACACGCATACACATATCATACATTAAATAAATCATTATATGTATAACAGTGGCCTTACTACTGATTCTCGGACGTTATGTTTCTATCTTTACTACAACTATATAGGTGAATTGTTTAGTGAATTGTAATTTTTTGTTGTTGATTAGACGTAAAAAAAATCTATCAACATGTACAATGAATATACATATCGAAATGTAATCATTTCCACAATCATTTTAAGTATTATGCGTAATAAAAAAATATGTGGAAACGTTCTGTAACGTATTTTTTGACTGAATAGGTTGTTCATAATGTATAATATTAACAAATTGATATTGCAGTGTGATAACGAATAAATTATATATATATATATATATATATATATATATATATATATATATATATATATATATATATATATATATATATATATATATATCGGGAAAGCAGCAGGACCAGATGGAATTTCTCCAGAAGCACTGAAAATACACACTGAGACATCATCGATCATCCTCATACCATTATTGCAGAAGCTTTGGAAGAAAAGAAAGAAAGGTACCTGCCGATTAGAAGAAGGGTTACCTTATCAAACTTCTAAACAAGGGCGACATAAGTCTGCAAGAATCACACTCCTGTCCAACTCTAGCAAAATACTAAGCCACTGTTCTGCAGTCCAAACTACGACCGGAACAGGCTGGCTGACTCCAGGAAAAACAAATCATGTGTGGATCAAATTTCAACGCAACGCTACGCATCATCATAGAATGGCAATCAACTCTTTACCTCAACTTCACCCACTTTGAAAAAGCCTTCGATGGCGCAGACTGAAGAGTAGGTAGCTAGCTGCTTCAACACCACGGTTTTGGTGCCACTAACCTTTATCAACCTCGTTCAACAGCTATATGCTATTTGCTACATGCCAAGTGATTCACAATGGAAAGTTCACTGATTCCTTTGAAGCGAACTGAAGACAGGAGTAAGACAAGTTCGCCGCCTACTATTTCTGATATTATTAAGATATAATCAAACCATTATGGGGTGAACGTAGAGAAGACAGAGGTGATTAATATATCCAACCAACAACAACAACAAGCACCAATCACCATCAACGGGAGAAATCTAAAGGGAGTTGTCCATTTCACCTACCTGCATAGGCGGCATCGTTTCAGCTACATGCGGCGCAGGCTCACATGAAGATATCAAAGCCAGGATCGGAAAGACAGCAAGACAAGACAGGCCTTCCTTCATTAATCTGAAATAAGCAGTGTGCAGATCTACTGCACTGCACTGCACCGCACTCAGCATAAAGTGTGAACAACATACGGATTTTCAACACTAATTGAGTCAAGTAAGTCAGTGCTTCTGTTTGATGGTTGAGAGACTTGGTGTGTTACGAAAAGCATTTCCAACAAATTACAGACATACATCATCAACAGTTTCCGCTTGCACTCACTCGATACTTAAGATCAGATAGCCAGAAAGAATAAGTAAGGAGGAAGTCTGGGTAGCTGGCTGGCTGACAACGAACCAAAGAAGCAATAAACTATCATCCAACAAATATGCAGAAGAAGAAAGTGGAGATGGATTGGATTGTATTGGACATACACTGAGAAGACTATTTGGGGACATCACACGCAAGGCTGTTGAGTGGAACCCACGTGAGAAACGACGAGTTGGGCGTCGGAGGGTGACGAGATGGATGAGATCGTGTGGAGAAGAAATGTAAGCTTGTGGGCAGTGGTGGAGTGAGGTTGTAAAGACTGCAGAGAAGAGAGTGAAATGGCGATGGGCTACTGAAGCCTTATGTTCCACTAGGAACCAGCGACCTTTAGTCATCACTCAGAATAAATAGTATAAGTCTATCAAACTACAGCTATCTCAGATAGTCAAACTAAGAATACATAGTAACTAACATAATTATTATAAAGTGTTTTTGTTTTATTCAATTTTAGGTTCGTGTCTACTATCCCACCACATACTTGCTATGCCAAAGTTGTATACCTCTGCCACCAGTAGTAGTGATTAAGTTTTTAAGGCTTCGAAACACCTAGTTGTATTTATTGATGACGCTGTACCAACTGAGCCAAGAGACCTGGCGACAACTTGTTTGATTTAGATTGTGGTGAAAAACCTGATTAGGCAGTCAATGTGAATACGATGAACTAACAGTTATGTATTACGATCTAAATGAAATTAAGATCTAGTTAGCAGTGAGGTCTCGTAGCTCAGTTGGCACAGCATCAGACAGGCAACTTGCAATCCATGACTCCGATTCTCATTTCCGCTTCAATCATCACCCAGTAACAATAAACTTTGCCGACTGAAGGCGTAAAGTTGCAACTTGAAATCGATTTTTAAGTTGATTTCTTTCATTCTATTAGTCAGAAGTATAACAACACCTATCGTGGTTGTCTCTAGGCTGACCTAATCAGTGAATCAGTACTAAGTCACTATGTACACTAGGTGAATTTCAGTCTGTTCCTTACTAATTATCATTTTGGCATCTAATGAAATAAGTGCAGAGTGTCGTGTAAAAGTTTGATCCGATATAGGACTGGAGCTTGGAGCTTTCAGGTGCTGAATGACACGAAACATAGTTTTTATTTCTATGAATTAAATGTTAACTGTAAAAGACAGGAACTTGTTTTGACTATACCTTATATAAAAACGCTTCACCAGCGACACTTTGTTGACTGACAGAGATGATTGCTACTCTAGTCCTTGATCTCTCAGTTTGGTCTAATGCTAAATAGTTGTTGAATGTTCTACAGAATTTCACGGCACTCCACGATAACTATCTTTATTTGTGGCGAGGTAGATTTGTTTATGTAGGCAAAGAGTCGATGAACTGATTATGAATAAAACCTGTGTAAAGACCATAATTATCAATGTACCATATCTACGATACACCCAAATAAAATCCCGCTAATCAGTCACTGGTCGCTTTTGGTGGAACCATCTTGTAAGTAAGGTTGAGTTCAGGCGAAAGAAGGTCCAGGTTAGGCAGACTAAGACCTGAATCCAGCCAATGAAGTCTGTCACTGTTGTGTGGGATGTCGACTGCGTGGTTGGGGTCCCTGAGACAACAGAAATCAGTGGTTGACAATTCTTGTTGACAAGGCTGAAAATCGGTCACAACATCATCTACTTTGATATCAGTCTTTTTCTATCCACTTGTTATTTGTATACTACCATGAAGTGTGGCAACTTGAGCTAATGTACATATGTGGGAGGTTCTACCTTGATTCTGTCACTGAACGAATGCAGTGACACTGTATTTTTACGCCTGACAGTGATATATTACTTTTAAGCCTAGCAAGTAACACTTCAGATGATTGACAACAAATGTAATGAGACTGAAAACTCGAACATCAATGAAGCATGTTTTCAGTTGAACGATAAACTTGTCGCATTTTGACGGTAGGCGATGCTAAAGTTATTGATCTCTAGTGGATTTCGGGTCTTACTTGGAATAACCTCCAAGTTCAAATAGTTTCCTTTAGTCTTTTTATACTCTATGATTCCCCTTAGTTTTAAATTGTCAATAAATCTGACGAACTATTTATTTTTTCAAATGAATATTCAATAACAATTTTTTAGATATTATTTATTAACAGTGATGATTCACGGTTGCTACGCTGGGTCGAATTGTTCGACCTCTGTTGGCAGATAGGCTCCTATGCGGATACTTCATCACTGCTTGAAAACTCATGATATTACAAACGGGTTGATGGATAGCACTTTGGCGTTTGAAGCGATAGGCTCCGGAACAACATGACTCACTGAGGTGCGAGTACATCTAGCTAACAACTCCCAAACAGGGTGAAACGTACGATCTGGATTCCATTACCAGCTACCAGCAAATAAACTACAACATAATTCTCTAGATAATTAACGTTAATCGTAATGGGAAGTTTATAACTTGTTGAGTTAACCCTCCTGCGCTTAGAGTGATAACATCGCACCTATTCTTGGAACGAGATGTTACCATTGATGTAAACTATAATTCCTTCTGTGTTAAGTTTCAGATAGTGGGACACTGGTTAACAGATTTTGAAAATGTTTTACAACTCACAATGCCAATAAAATGACAATTTTAATACTTCCCTTTTTTCATCTTCTTGAACATTTAGCAAAAGATCATTGTCCAGGAAAAAGGAATTTACTATCAACGTCATCAGCATCAACTTTAAGACGACAAAAACATCAACAAGAATTTTCTTTGAAGAATAATTTGAATAATCAAACTGAAATTTGTATAAATGTTAATCATAAATCAAATGCTTCAACATTGAACGATCACAATACAATTAAAACAAAACAAATTGCAAAGGATATTATTATTTGTAGTCATAAACAATTCTCGTTAAAAGGTAAAACAGATTTATTAAATGAACATGTGGATCAGTTAAACAAACAGAGAAGTGTTCATCTCTCTGGTGTTGATACACAACCAACTGACAAGATTACGTAAGTCATTAGTATTGGAATTAGTTGGCATAAAACCGTTACAATTTTTCTCTTTTTATATGTGTTTGTGATTACCTGTTATGTTAAGATCTTCCTTGCATGTAAACTTGATCTTGTTGATGTACAGCCTGAGAAGAACATCTGGTGTCACTACCTTCAGATGAGGTAAAGCATAAAAATTCTTAAAGCTGATGGACTGGTAGTCTCTAGAAATTCCAGTATGGTATTCATCATAGAATGACATCATTTGGAGAGGCAGTAAAAACCTGGGAACACTGAACAGATGTTTCGTCCCGGTATGAGCCTCCTCAGCAGGACCTACAGGCTCCGCAGCGACCACGTAACCCTTGAGCCGATGCGTCAGAATCTAATGGTTTACAGTTTCATACTCCTGCCAATTTTCGACATAGCGTGACCTTCATTCAAGTATTAGATACCCATAAACCTCCAAATTGATCTTCTGTCCTGTGCTTTTTAATGACTTACTTCGAGATGATATGTCCAGAAGTTCTAATCAGAAGTCATAATCAATGGGGCAAACTAGGTTGGACTTGAGGACTGGTACTCAACGATGACATTAAATGGAGGTTGCATTATGCCATGAAGTGGTAGAAGTAGGGAAATATGAAATCACTGAATTCCGACTCACTGGTTAAATAGTAACGAGCTGACCGTGGAACCTGAGGGCCTTGGGTTCTGTCCGTGATGGGATTGTGGGTGCGCATTGCTAAGGAGTCCCATACTAGGACGAAACAGATGTCCACTGTTCTCAGGTTTCTAATGGTTCTCCAACTGATGCCAGTTTGTGATGAATACCAACTCGAAACCAATAGATACCCACAAACCTCCAAACTAAGAAACGTTGCATAACGCTCACTATTTATTCACTAGTTCTAGATATCCGTGTGTATTTGAGCACAGTAACCTGCTTCAACTGCTTGAAGAAAGAATTTCACAACTATATTCTTCAGGAAGTATGTATAAACTTCCCGTTTTTTCATATAACCTTAAACTTCATATGAACATTAGTACTAATAATAATCCTGAGGCTTACAGAATTCGATTGATAATTTTGCAACCTAGTCATCAGACTAGGAAGCTTACCGTTGAGGTACAATTTCTGAATGTCATTCGGTTAGAGGTGGTCGATAGGAAACCCTCAATCTGGATTTCGCTCTTGTTGGCACTCATCAGCAAGCCGCATCTACAAACTCAAAGAAACTTAAATCCTTCTGCAGACTTGAAGTCACATCACTCAGTGTTGCAGTTAGAGAAGTTACCACTTAACTTCCTTATGATGAGCCTCTTATCTTGGTGGCCACATTTTAGAATGATGCGTAGAGTTTGGTAAGCACTCTGAAATAGACAACGTGAAATCGGTTACTCTTCACTGACTAACCGGTGTAAAGAATTCTATATGTACTTCATCTACGGAAGCTGTAAAAGAATAGTCAAAAACTGATGATTATTTGTACCTTAAATATATATCAGTTGAAGAAAATGTTAAAACTCGAAAGCACTAAACAGAAAATCACCAGCTGCATTTATAAGTTCGACTAGCAGTCAGTAACTTCGAATATTGGTTTCATTTTTGGTCTAAGTGTATCTCAATAGGCTGTAGTTCAACGTGTGTGTGTGTTTAACAAGCATTTCAAAGACTGGTCCACGCATGTTCACAGTAATGTCGATGGAGTCACGTGATTTTGCTCCAGCTGTCTCCCTATTAGTGACACGTCTGGAACCTTCCATATCAGTTAATAAGTATATCTGATCTACACCCTGCACAATGTTTATGATGCAAACATTCTATTTGGTAAACAGAGATATAACCAACTACTAAAAAAGAAAACCTTCCATCTTTAAAAATAATAAAGTTTTTCTAAAAAATCAGTTGTTTACCCATGGGTGTAATTCTCCTAAAAGGTGACCAAGGCGATAAGCGAAAAGAAATGGTTCTCGTAGCTTTGGCGCTTGAAGTGTTGAGTACTAGTTTCAAGTATCGTTGGTGTGGACGTATTTTTGATTGATGGGTCCCAAGGAGGACGAAATACATGTCATAAATTTCACTACCAACCACCAAGTAAACTACCAAGCGAAATGCACTTCGCTTATCACCTGTTTCAAAGAGGAAATAAAGCAGCAGTGCGAACTGGAAAAAACTCTCATAATAATAATAATAACAATAATGAACCATAGGAAATGTTAAACATTCATAAACTTATTATGTTATATTTAAAACCTTGACATTTAGGTGCTCTTATTAATTCCGCTTACATTTAAGCTTACTGATGATGTACTGTTGTAGAGATATGTATATTTATCACCAGTAGAAAACGGTTTTAAAAAAAAATAACTTTTTCTCCTTACAATCAATAGTTGCACTGTACCATACTGACATTAATATCTACACGTAAGAAAAACGATTTACGATTAGGCTAATTGAACTGACTAGTGAATAACCTTTAATTTAGTTGTAATTGTTTAATTTATTGATAATTAACAGGTTATAAATAGAAGAAACGTTTCTTAATGTACAGAATATGAAAGTTCTTTTTAACAAAATATGATTGTGATTTGCTTTTTTTGGCTTACAAATCCAGTTGGTAGACTGTGGTACTAGCGATACTAGTGTAGCAGATTTTGGTATTACTGGGAGAGTTTTACTGATTTTATGTAGTATTGTTACTGATATCATTTCCAAACGGGAAGCTGTGAGTATCTTTGCTCTGGTTTTGAGAATTTTTGATTCCAGGCAAAGATTTAAATCAAGCATGCTTGGCGCTAGAACTATTTTAAACAATTCCTTGAAATAATGACGTTTACACAGGATCACGTTCAAAAACTGCATCTGCGTACTAGGCTGAGTCGAACTTAATATTTGATAACTTAGATAATATAATCCGTGAATCTCCTTATTTGATTGGACCGAACTGATCGGCTAGTATTGGCATGCAGGCTCTTGTACGAATGCCTTGATATTGGAGGCATTTTCATACTTGATATTGGTGATGGAATCCAGGAAGAATGTTTCATTCTATTCCTGACTGGTCAGCTGGTTGAACCTGCCTCTCAGTGAGCGATGTTGTTCTCACTCAGATTCAAAACCTAAACCGATAGCTTCAGATACTAAAGAGTTATCCACTAGGCTACCGAGTCACGATATCCACTTCTTGTGAGACGCGTATAGTTTTTCTGTTGTTACTTGTATTATCCCATTGCTGATTGGGCCGAACTGATTAGCTTCTGTTGGCATATAGGCTCCTGTGTGGATGTCTCGATATTGCTTGCGTTTTAATTATAGTAATGATAGATAGTGGCTAGCAGTAGAATCCAGGATGTTCATTTTGTCCTACCCGAGATTCATTGGCTGAATGTAGCTGTAGAAAAGTGTAGAAGAAGTAATTGAAAAGTATGCTCTTTGTTCATTATACTGTCTTCACAATCCGTTGATAAGAACTTATAAAACCTGTGTTGGTGAACGATTGTGTTGGTTAGTGTTAAGGATACTATTAGAACCAGGAATTTTTTGAAACAAGGTAGCATTCTACACAGACTGACATCAATTGGAGCACTGGACAGCTATTTTATCCTTGTATGAGACTCCTTAAAAAAACGTACTCATGACTCAAAAACTACTCACTTAGAAAGCAAACATATGTGATGAATCATGACTGCCGTATAGCTCTTAACTAGATTAAGCATAAAACTCAACCCATTCATCTCTACGATAGTCATACAAACTAAATGACTAAAGTTCTAGTAGATAAGTTTAAGCACTCTACAAAATACGAGGGAAAATCTACTCTGAAGCATTCTTGGGTAATAGTTGTGTTTTCATTTCACAAGAAACTGTACTCTCGTTGGCTAACATCTTCTTGAAACAGTACGAACACAGAGGGGACTTCCGTTGTTGCAGTAATCACTCTATTCAGAAATGAATCGATTACATGTAGTACTGGGATGCACATGTAGCTTTTATGACAAGTGAGCATTGAGCTTGAATGATTCCTAATTCATACTATAAAAACTAGCAGTTCTCAGTAAAAATCTAATCATTTTCATTTATTTTTTTGGTCAAGGTAACGTTTAGTTTTCACATGTACAACAGCAGCGCATATTGGTATAAGCCACGTATTTCTTTTAAGTTCTTATTGGTTCGCCATCCTGACAGATTAGTGACAAAGACAATTCCCGTGTTTACTAAACGTTTAAATTGGATCGTGGATCAATACATTATGGTAAATCACTCAGTGAAGTCTAAAAGGCGCTAAAATAATCATTTTAAGCCCATCATTTATCGATTAATGGTTTTAGATCACAGATGTCTTCGTAGAGTTGCTCTCGTGAAATGGAATCACTATGTAAGCAATGCTGAGGTCAGGCAAAGAGTACTAAGATAGCCAAGTCAATTGATGGGGTTGTGAATCCTCATTGACTAAGATGGCTTGGAGATGTACTGTGCATGCCAAGCTACCGCCTGCCATGACGTGCCATGCTACAGAAAGCTGGATAAGGCTGGAAAAAGGTCAAGCCAAGACGTGGCACTTACTGATGTGGCACTAGACGATGAAGTCCCTAGTTTGAGCCATAACTAGTTGACTAGGGTCCTCGAGACGATGGGAATCTGTGCTTGAGGACTCTTACTGACATGACTGGAAATCGGTAACAATGACGCAGAATTATATATATATGTAATATTCTTTTTGCACTTTATCAGTCCTGATATGAGAATAAATAAGCAATCAGATATAGATCTTTGAGATGAGTGGGGATTTTAATTTAAAGGAAGTATTCATCAATCAATTGGGGAACCATCGAAAACCTGGGATCACTGGACAGCTGTTTCGTCCCAGCATGGAACTCCTCAGCAGTACGCACCCACAACCTGGATACGGGTTGAACTCACGACCTTCTTCAGGTCTCACGGTGAACGCTCTAACCATTCAGTCAACGGGTCAGAGTTCAGTAGCTTATAGTTTCCAACTTCTCTCAATTCACGA